TTAACAAGACAGAGCACTCCGCACAGCGCAGCCCTCCCGGAGTTTCTGCACAAGGTACGCAGGAGAGGTCAGCACTCCTCAGCAAGCTCCTGACCGGAGCAGAGCTTGAGTCGTTACACTTGCTGGGTAGTAAGTCAGAAGAAAAAGGACATCACCATGAGGATGGACCAGAAGGGAACAAGAACGGTGTGGGACGCCCGGAAGTCTCTTGGTAGGACCCGACAGAACAGATAACGGTCCAGACCAGAAATGAGGCTGTCCCCCCAGTAAGACTCCCCCCAGTTCTGTAGTCCAAGAAATCGGAAGTAGGTGCCGGAACTGTGTCCTGTATAAAGCACAGTATGGTGCAGAGATCCATGTGCATGATAGCTGCACAACGAGATACCATGAAAGGTCGCTCTCATCTGGAGGGTTGGCAGGTGGCTGAGAGGGTAGGCTCTGGGCTCTGGAATGAGGCAGCACAGGTGTGAGTGAGTCTTTGTTCTGCCACCTATTAGCTCTGTACTTGGAGGTCAATGCCTCCATCTATAAAATGGGTATAAGAGTAGTGCCCACTCTCAGGATTGCTGTGAAGATAACATGAGGAAAAAGAAAAAGCACTCAGAAAAGTGCCTGACAAATAGTAAGTGTTTAATAAATGTTAGCCATCATTATCATTGATAAATAATAACTAGATGTCGAATTTTGCCTCAAAGGGTCCTTCCAATCACTGTTGGAGAGAAATCCCCAGGTTACACACCAATCCAGAAAGACTGCTGCTAGTATAAGGCGTCCTTCTGACTTCATACTTCGGTTGTCCTTCTTTGGGCTCGTGTGGCTTCAGGAAACGAAGTCGCAAAAGGAGACTCAATTTCCCAGAGTAAAACTCTGGATAGAACATCAGAAGGAATACATCTTTACCAGGCTCTATAAAAGAAAACTCCCTTTTTCTTAGACATGTCTTAAAAGTTAAGGGGATGGAAATCATTACTTATCTGCAAGTAAGACTGGAGAGAACTCTCAGAGATTTCAAATTAATCTTATTTTTCACTTCTGTAATGAGCTAGTGAGTGTTCTCTTATTTGCAGGCCATGGTGAAAGTGCTAGTGGTTATCGCTACAGGACGAGAGGTTCTTAGCCAGGAATCTGTTAACTTCTAGAAGGTCCAGTGGATAGGTTTGAGGTGGAAAATATTAAGGAAGATTTAAAAAAAAAATTTTTTTGTAAGTTCAAATTTTATTTTTTTAAGTTTATTTTTATTATTTATTTTGTGAAAGCGAGTAGGGGACCGTCAGAGAGAGAACCCCAAGCAGGTTCCGCACCGTCAGCACCGAGTCCCACGCAAACCGTGAGATCATGACCTGTGCTGAAATCAACAGTCGAACACCTGACCGACTGGGCCACCCAAGTACCCCATGTAAATTTAAATTTTAAAATGACTAGCATTTTCTCTTAAGTCTTTGAAGAGCTTCAGTAAGCCTCGTGTCTTCCCTCCATAACGGAGAGAAATGTAGAAGTGGTACAGCTATTTAGGTCCTATCACACAGGCATAAAAATCAACTCCGTTGCAGCGTGTCCGGATGGAAGAACTGTGCAGGGAGACAAGCCTCTCTCTCTGTCTTTGGAATGTGCTGGAGAAGTTCTTCCAATTCTGTGCCCAGGTTTTTCCTTTGCCTGACGTTTTCTTGGGCATTCATGAACAAAAAGATTTCAGAGAAAGATGCTGAACTAATGTGAGAAAAAGAAACACTCATCCGAACCATTTTAATATCGCTTTGGTGGATCTTAACAACACATAAGGATAAGAACAATAATGGTGAATCATAACCTTAGAAGCAGCTGGTATTTTTTTGGCTGCCTCGGATCTACTCAATGTCAGATGGAAAAATATTGATATCTAAGCAGAAAATGTCATGTTGCTTTAAGCTGCAGAATGGCTTATTTTTGCTAGCAAGGGGGTATGACTCTAAAAGGATTTGTCAAGCAGATGCTTCAGAAACAGTCTAACAAGTCATATGCATAATGATGGTAGAAAGAAGGTGACCTGTTACCTAATGAAGAATCCATTTACAGGTGCTTAGTTATTTTCATACTTCTGCCTATTACAAAGGAAGAGAAAGTCATCACTGAATGTCAGAGGCAATGCTAATTTTCTTGCCGGGCGTCTCCACAGCACCAATAGCCTTAGGGCTGGGAACTGAAACAGGGAAACCCCTCAGGAGCCTCTCGGATGGGGGCAGGAAATTCCACAGCAAAGAAGTAATGGAGACCTCCAAGAATGCAGTTGGAAGAAAATTTTACTGAAATGCACACATTGAAAGATAATGTCTTTCCAAATGTGTAAGTCTTGAAAATAAAAACAACCATTTAGTGAGGGTTTCATATATGTCAGGAACTTTGCATATATTATTCCCTCTAGTCCTTTGTAAGAACCCTGTGAAGTGGATATTTTGATCCAAGTTTGACCGCGGGAATTATGAGGGTTAGGTGTCCTGCCAAGGTCACACTGTTACTAGGTGACAGAGGTAGGAAAGGAGAGCCCAGTCCATTTGCTTCCAAATGACACGCTCTTTCCCACTACAAGCAGCATCCCTATACCCCCTTGATGGTTAGCCCACTCTTTAGAGAAAGAAGGGAACCATTCTGATCCCAACAGAAGGAGAGAAATGGCCATGTTACTGCAGAAACTTGAATTCCTATGCCATTTTTTTAAATTCCACTCATTGGAATCTACATTACCTTATCTACTACACGCACACACACACACACACACACACACACACAAACAACAAACAAACAGAAACCCCTGCAATTTAAGAGGAAGAACGCTATTTTAAAAGAAACTAAGTCACAGATGGTAAGTGAGCTGCCCAAAGCCACATAGCTAACAGGCAGGCTCGTACAGTGGAAAAAGAGCCCTTCTGAGACTGAAGAGCCTTATTCTGCTTACTCTGTACCAGGCTGAACTTACCCAATGCCCAGAGGTACCCCCTGCCCAAACCACCACTTTTTCTGGAACTTTAGTCATTTGTTAAAATTACAGGGGAATTCTGAGCTCACATGAACTCCGTGGGTATGGCAAGGCTGTTCACATTGCAAAGTACGGGGAGAATGAAAGGCTGACTGCCCTTTGGGGCAGAATGAAAATTCAGCTTTGTGTCTTCAACAACAAGATGCTACCTTTGAGTCAAACACTGACTTTTATCTGGGTAAGGACTACTGCAAACATGAGCGATAGAAGTTTATTTGTGGTCTTTAAAACCACATCGCCAAAGGACCCTTTTTAGTCCATCTGCAAAGATAAAGAAATAACTGTGGCACAGAAGAAAAGGAAACAAGGTGGGAAGAATGAGCATTTAATAAGCATTAGTCATGTGCCACAGGCTATGCACACAGTATCTCACTGAATCCTGAGAGCATATGCTATGAAAGTACAGATCACGAGCCACCTTTAGAAAAGGAAGTTGATACTGTTGAGGTTAAGTAGTTTGGTCAAAACTACATGGCGTGTAAGAGGTAGGGCCAGGCATGGAACCCAGGTCTGCCTGATTATTTTCACTATACCCAGCTGCCTCCTTGACAAAACATTATAATAATGTTCTTTAAAATGGGATTTTACCTACCTACATACTCATTTTTATTTATTTATCTGATTAGATTTAATTCATCCTAAATTCCACATAACCCCAAAATAGAAATCTCTGAAATCTTTTTCATTTAATCCATTCATTCATCTATACTTATTCAGCCACTTCTAGGTGATAAGCACCATGGTAAGTGCTAGAGATACAATAGCAAACCAGTCAGACATTGTTCTGCCCTGATACAGGGCATTATAACCCCTATAGATAGGGGTTATACACTAGAACAAACTTTCTCAGTAAAGAATCAAAAACTTGGTATTTTAGGCTTTGCGGGCCATATGGTCTCTGTTGCAACTGCTCAACTCTGCCATTATAGCAGAAATAGTTATACATAATACATCAGTGAATGGGTGTCACTGTGTTCCAATAAAACTTTATAGAAACAGGCAGTGGGCCAGATTTGGCTGACCCTCGCTCTTGAGAGGAAGACTCAGAAAAGTAACCAAGTAATTAGAATACCTTGTAATAATTGCTCTAATTGAACAAATACAGCAAAGTCTGGGATACCTAAACCAGATTAAGAGAGATCAAAGATAGTTTCCAGGAGGGACTGGCATCCATAGATCTATGAATGATGAGTAGGAATTAACAAAATAAAATTTTCTGACCCTCTTCCTTTAATTCTACTTACAGCTTCCTTTAACAACATTTTTCATGAACAATTCTTTGTTTTACAAATGCCTGAATCATGTTGCTTGTCTCATCGATTTTCATCAAAATAATTCAAGTCCCCTCCCCTTCCTCCTGCAACAAGAGTATCAACTTTTTCCTTCGGTTTTTCACATTCTAGATTTTACCCAGTACCTGAAGTGGTCTTGTAAAAGTTTGAACATTAAGTTAAAGAGATAGACTCTCTGGCATGTAAATCACACCTCAAAAAGCTATTGAAAATAACTAAACAAAGCCGGCAGCCTGACTTCCAGAAGTCCTCACAGGATGACTAAACTTTGATGAAGCCAGCATAGACCAGGGTGTGGAAAAACCCAACTTAATCTCAATCTCAAAAAGTTCTTACAGATAAAGCTTCAAAGAATATGAATTCACAGCCAAAAATAAAAAAAGCACACAGGGTAGCTTTCAAGGTGTCATGAGAGAGAGCTGCAGAAACAACAGACAGTGAAGTGTAACCTGCAAAGGCTCTAGATACTGGAATCATCAAACACAAAATATCAAATAATATCTTTAATATCTTTACAGAAATAAAAACAGAAGACTGAGCATATCTCCTTTTTAAAAAACGTTTATTTATTTTGAGAGAAAGGGAACACAAGCAGGGGAGGGGCAGAGAGAGAGGAAGAGAGAGAGAGAGAGAGAAAGAGAGAGAGAACCCCAAGCAGGCTCCATGCTGTCAGCACAGAGCCCTATATGGGGCTGGAACTCACAAACTGTGAGATCATGACTGAGCCGAAACCAAGAGCCAGACACTTAACCAACTGAGCCACCCAGGCGCCCCTGAGCATAGCTCCTTCTTGAGACAAGGGTGTACCTTCCCTTGAGCAAAAAACAAGAGACCAGAAAAAAGACTAAGTAAATTTGAAGAAAAAAAAAAAAAAACCCAAAGAACTTCTTAATGCATTAATAAGTGCATTATGGAACAGATTTAACACAACTGAAGAAATAATTAGATATTTGAAAGAGATAGATTAAGTAACAGATTAATGTTGCCTAAGAGAGAACTTGAGAACCGAAAGATAGATAGATCCAAATAAAGAATCAGGATTAATGAAGACACCGGAGACGGAATATATGCAAGAGACATAGAATGTACCAGGACAATATGACAAGAGAGAATGTGGAAGAGGCACAATTTCAAAGAGATCGGGACTGAGATTTTCCAGAATTACTAGATGAATGAATACAAACCTTCAACTATAAAATAAGAAGCCTATTACCAAGTGAAGAACTCTACCTTGTTCACTACACTGGGCCAACTTATAATGAAGGGATTTTCTGCTATTTTTAGAGGTAATCATGTCGTGAAGGTATATGTGGTATTTTTGTAATCTTATGCTCCTCGGGGTTCAAAAGAGGGTAACGTGAAAACCATTCTATCCTGTTTGCATTTTCTCCGTCCACCAAATTCAGTTTCTTTCCATAACAGTACTTTGCCATTTTTAACTAAAGTCAGGACATACTGGAATCTAGGCTTTAGGGTAATGTTGAAATCCTTGGAGCCCCTCAGTACAGCTTTTGATACCTGGTGATTGCATAATAAAGCTTGTTGACTGACAATCGGTGCCATCAGGTCAGCGACAAGGAGAGATAAGAAGAAAGCTTCCTGAAAGTTACATCTGAAAGAAAGTAACCTAACAGCATTTTTCCAGACTTTGAAATAAAATTGGATTTAGCAAATAGCATCCCAATACAGATGTCCCCCAACCACAGGAAGGGCTCAGGTTATAGTAAAAACAATCTTAGCTATTATTTGTGGATCATTTACTTTTGGCCAGGCACTGTGCTAAGCATACAATGAGGAGAAAATAGGAATTACTTTATATCCTATTCAACAAAGGTTCTTTAGTCTACATAACTGCAAACAAGTTGCTTATCTTCTCTAAATGCATCAATAAATCCTAAGCCTCATGTACTTAGTTATTACCATTGTAATACCAAAAGCTATCACAAGATAAAAATAATTTTATTTCATTTTAACTTAGAAAAATAAACCTCATGCTATGAAAATTTTTAAAAATTGATGAAAAGTTTGCAGTTGCTGAGATCTTTTTTTCTGAACGCAATAAAAACATATATAACACAAAATGATACTCATGGAGGAATGATCAGAAAAAAAATGTTGTTTGGTTTTGTTTTGTTTTTTTCTACCTTGATTGTTTGCAAACCTGTCAGATAAGGTACAGCCTTGGCTCAGGGCAGCAAGCCTCAAAGTTTCGAGTGCACTGGCATCACCACAAACTTTATAAAAAATGTAGATTCCTAAGCCCAACTGGGAGAATTCTGAGTTAGCAGGTTTGGGCTAAGACCCAGAATTCTGCCCCTTTTGCAAGCACCACAGGAAAATGTGGGTACATGGTCCAGACACCCCAAACAAAACTCTGTCTTAGGAGAAATAGAGCCTCAGGCCCTCCCTTTCCTACCAACCTTGAATCCTGAACAATTCGAGTTCAACACAGAAGTGATCTGAGTTGCAAGATGCCAGTTTGGTGTGGGTCCCTAAGTGACTGGTCTGGATCCATAATCCAAGGGATAGATCAGAGCTATCCTTCTGGTAAAGTGCTCCTCATTATGAGAGCATCTTTAAGAAGTGAGTCAAAAGCATCATACACTTAAGGAAATCCTTTTCAGATGCCTGTCTCCTCCCTCCCCTCCTGTAAAAAGAGAATGGTCTCACCTTTTTATAGTCATTGTGGTAATAGGCCATTTTCTCTTGGCTTTCAACTTCAAATTTAGTTTCAAGAGTGAGAAAGAATAGTTTGGGCAAAACAGATGTTTGTAACATTTTTTATTTGACCTGAAGGGTGAGCGGTCAATATGTTTACCCGATTGCATTACAACCAATTGGACACCAAGGCCTCTCAAAAGTAGAGCACCAAGTTGAATGGCTAAAACCAGAGGTGGAGGCAATACGTAAACATCTTTTGTAGAATACAATTAAATTGCTCTTTAAGGCAACCCTTTGAAGTCCACTTTAGGAAAAGTTTACTTAAGATTGAGAATATTAGAAGTGATAGATCCTAATTTTTGCTAAGACTTAAGGTTTTGTCATTTCTGCTTAATGTGTGAACTGCAAGCATTTGCTTTCACTCACAGAGAGGCTAATCGTGAGGGGAAAACTTGAAATACATTTAATTCAACCTCTACTTATCAACATGGAGTTTCCCTGCCCACCGAACTTCATAGTACATGATGTTCCCTCAGAAGAGTTAACTGTATATCCCATTTTTCTCGCTGGGACTTTTGATGACTTTGCAAACTAGTCAGCACAAAGGCATCCGGAGTCACGCTGGCATGTTGTGACAGAATCACACAATTACATGAGGTTCGCCCCATTCTGAAAATGCCCGAACAGCGAACAGCAGAGGCAAACGGAAACAAAACATCAGAGCCAGCACAGCCTGAGCGAGACCTGAAACTCAGACTCCTCGTCCGGGGGGCAAGTTTCCTGCTGTGGTGTGGAATATAGGTGGCAGATAAAAAAAAAAAAAAATGACAGCCAGACTTCTAAGAACAGCCCTTCCTTTGCTCTTCTTCGCCCTCTTTGGGGTCCTGGAGGCGACAACAATATCGTGCAGAAATGAAGAAGGCAAAGCTGTGGATTGGTAGGTAAATGAAATGGAAGGATTTGTGCATGCAAATAGAAAGCCAGAGTATGGGAGGCAAACTGGCTCACTGTAAAGTTCCACAAGGAGTCTTCCCCCTCCCTCTCCCTTCTAAAAAGAAGGGAAATTAAAGTACATACATGGACCAAATATCCAGAGAGGTCCTGAGTGAAGGAACTTCCACCTGAGAAAGCTGCCAAGCAGTGCCTGGTGGACCTGATTCGCTTCTCCCAGCGGGCCAAGGCCGGTGGCCCCAGATGTGGGGGGCCAGTTGGCAGGTTCCTTTCATTGCATTGCGCCTTCCCTAACGGGACCCTTCCAACATCCTTTCAGAGATTTGCAAAGGAGAGAAGGCAGATTGCTTTTTTTCTGACACGGGACGTTGTGCCTCTCCTTCTGAGAATGAGAAAGAGGGCTTGATCGAACACAGCAGTGTTCGGTTAACCTTGTTTATTAGGGCAGCACAGGAGCACAGGAGTGGGTGGTAGGTCCTTGGCCTCCTTCACGCTGTGGAAGAGACTCAACACAGCATTGCATTATGGTTATGGATTCTTCTAACGCTTTGATCGCTTTTTCACTCTTTAATTAGGGTGTTTACGTTGAGCATTATGATTGGCATCAAGCTTTGTGTAAACTTCAGGCTTGAGAACACAGAGACACTCAGTCTCTCAGCAGTTACTGAGCTCATGCCAGGCCCTGTGCTGAGGTTTGAAAATACAAATATGAATGAAACATAGCACTTGCCCTCAAGGAGCTCAATTATGTGGTGAGGGTATAGATGGGGCCTCTAGGGAGCATGAGCCCCCAAACTAGTTTTGAGCTAAGTTTTAAGAACAATTATGAGCTGGTTAGATTTTTTTTAATGTTTATTTATTTTTGAGAGAGAGAGAGACAGCAAGCAGGGAGGAGCAGAGGGAGAGGGACAGAGGATCCCAAGAAGGCTCTGCGCTGACAGCAGAGGGCCCAATGCGGGGCTCAAACTCACAAACGGTGAGATCACGATCTGAGCCTAAGTCGGATGGTTAACCGACTGAGCCACCCAGGCACCCCGTGAGCTGGTTAGAAAAACAAGGGAGATGCAAGGGCATCTCAAGCCAATGAGGGAGCAATGGGGAGGTACAGAGGCAAAAAGCAGGGGAGAAGGTTCAAGAACAGTGTTGCTGGTGCTTCAGGAGAATGGTGGGAGATGGCAGGAAGTAAGCTCAGTGAGCGGTGAGGGCCAGGTCATGAAGGGCTTTGTGTGTTGGGCTGCAGCGTCTGAATTTGACTGTCAAAGGGAGCTACTGAAGACCTTCCAGCAGGGGTGTGACGTAGTCAGATTTGTATTTTAGAAAGCTCACTGGTGGTACGTTGAAGGCCAACTGCATGGAGACCAGTCTAGAGTCATGGACTCACCAGGACTTTTGCAGCATTACAGATGAGATGATGTGTGGACCTCATCAGTTTAAAGTTTAAAGACGCGGTAGTAGAAATAGAGAGGAAGGAACACTCTGGGAAAACTCAGTAACAGATGGGCTGAGGGTCGTAGGAGAGAGGGAGAAGTTAAGAAAGACTTTCAGATTGCTGGCTTCTCTGACTGCGTGGATGTGTTCCCCGTCTGCAGGAGAAGAGCAGAGTTGGAGCGAAATATTATAAACTTGGTTTCAAAAATATGGAGTTGGAAGTCTCTGGGCTATCTCTGCATTTAGGCTTATCTGGACCTCAGCATAGAGGTGTGGGCTACAAACAGATTGAGGAAACTTCAGAAGATAACTGGAAATGGTTACTCAAGAAAAATGTTTAAAAGCACTAGTTTTCAAGTGATACGCCGTGACCCTGATGGTTCTCAAACCCTTTACTAGTGAGCGACCAAATTGTGATCAATACATAACATTTGTTTTTGCTGCAAATGAATGGACACGTTACTCAGCAATACCCGTCAGAGAGAATGTTGAGCTGAGCAAACGGGGAGGCACAGTCTCGAGCCACTACAACTCACTGTGAGAGTAAAAGGGCAGAGCAACATCAGGTCGGCACCAAAGAATAATTTTATGTTTCCTGCCACATGTGAGGACCCTGTTCTGAGAGTAAGAATGCATGCACAGGGCAGGAAAGAGCTCGTGTAAATAAATGGAAGCATAAGAGTGAATAGAACCAAGTGAATAACATGAAGTGTTTACGGGCAGTGTGAGATGTCATCGTGTGGTCATAGTGAATGCATTAGAATGTTTGCCTCCTTGTGGGTATTTGATGGTTCATTGTGGGATTTTTGCTATTAGAGGTATTTGGCAAGACCCGGGTGATTTTGCCCTCTGGGGACTTTCAACATTGTCTGGAAACAGTTTTGATTGGCATAGCTGAGGAGGACTACTGTCATCTGATAGGTAGAGGCCAAAGAATGATCTGGCCTGAAATGTGACTAGAGCACATTTGAGAAGCCCCGGGGTTACATGATCCAAGAGTGCCTACCTGCCATACGGGCCCAACCGCCTCCCCTCCCTGTGAGATACGCAAAGAAGATATACAAGGAGATAATAGTGAGGACAACAAAATGCTTGCTTAATGAGCTGGTCTTGGCCCTGAATCCTCAATTCAGAGCGGTCTGAAAAACTGAGCTAAAGAACGTGGCCTAGGCCAGAGACTCAAGGGAGCCTCTGTCTACTCTGAAAGCCAAACCCAAATCTCGGACCCAGCCAGCCACCTGCAAAGAGATGAGCGTGCCAAGCACTTGGGGCAGAAGAGAAAAATACATCCAAGGCCTTTCCAGTCCAGGCCTGGGCTTCGTTCTCTCCCCAGTGCAGCCATATGGCATGTGGAAACAAAAGAGAGCCACTGTCAACCTACATGGGCTTCCACAACAGGGACCCTACCCACCCTAGGCCAGTTGATGTCTTAGGACACATCCAGTCAGAGTCACATTCCTTTCTGGGAAGGAGAAAAATAAGGGCGAGAAAAGAGACAGAAATCTTTTTTTTTTTTTTTCAACGTTTATTTATTTTTGGGACAGAGAGAGACAGAGCATGAACGGGCGAGGGGCAGAGAGAGAGGGAGACAAAGAATCGGAAACAGGCTCCAGGCTCTGAGCCATCAGCCCAGAGCCCGACGCGGGGCTCGAACTCACGGACCACGAGATCGTGACCTGGTTGAAGTCGGACGCTTAACCGACTGCGCCACCCAGGCGCCCCAAAAAGAGACAGAAATCTTGAGCAAATCCCTTTCCTTAGACTTAGGGAACATAAGTAAAATGATATAGTTAGACGCTTAATACAGTGGCTGTCACCAGAGAAGCTGTCAATAAGTGTTAGTAATTCATAATTATTTCCTTTGTTAGGTTTGCCTTTTATAAGTTACCTAAAAGGCAAGACAAGGAAAGCAGACAGACGGGGTTAGAGTACCTATACCTAGACTCTACAACCAGGAGCTGGAGGAGGAGTAAGCAACTAATGAATACCACCAACAGTGTGTTGGGAAGGACATTACAACAGCTCTATGAAGCATATGCCTCCGAGGTATGTTACAGTTTATCATTCATCTGAATCACATAAAATGCATAAACAGAATCTAAAGCTTCCAAAAGATTCTGACTTCGAACCTACCTAACCCCTGATCCTAGCAACTTGAAGTAAGCTAGCACACAATCTGAATCAATCTTAGACCTTCAGGAATATGTCATCAGACTCTACAGCGATGCCAGATTATGGGCACATTCAGCACTATATCCCATAGCATCACCGGGTAAGGTGTGAACTACCTACGTATGGAAGCCTTCTGGCTGCCAAACTCTGCCAATTCACTCCGTACTTGCTGTCTTAGACCTCTAACAGAAATAGCAAGAAGCCCTCTCCCATTATAATGCAATACAGATCAGCAATTAATACACCACGAAGTATGGGTTACTTATGCCATGGTGGTGATGAGTGCTGGGGGCCAAAACGAAGGGTTCCACCTGGTCTTCCTTTTCACTTATCATTTTCCAAGTAGTAGGTTGAGAGCTAGGGCTGTAGTTCGATGCCCTAGAACTCACTTGCCTGAGTGGAGATTAAACCTGCTATCTGGACTTGATCAGGCAATGCGCTAACCAGCCAAAGAGGCATAGGTAAGTAGGCCTGCTGGCTCAATGTGGGCAGTCTCCCAATGATCCAGGCACCATCTGCCATTCAGTGGCAAGATACTGCTTCCCAACCAGGGGTGACAAGGAAAATCATACAATAATATTCAGTTACACGCATATATGCCTTCCTAACAATCACTGAGAGAGAGGTAAATGTGCAAAATGACTCAGCACTTACGGTATGCTAGGCCGTTACATATGTCAATTAATTGATTTCCAACAATAATGTGTTAGATCCTAGCGCTGCGGCACATGCATATCTGAGTATTTACTCAAAATGCGCAGAGAGCTGTCACTGTGTGCACTAATGCTCATGTTTTTATTCGTCTGCCACGAAGACCAGCCTTCAGAGCCAAATTTCAAAGTAAAAATGTATTTTAAAAGTGTTTGAGGGGCGCCTGGGTGGCGCAGTCGGTTAAGCGTCCGACTTCAGCCAGGTCACGATCTCGCGGTCCGTGAGTTCGAGCCCCGCGTCGGGCTCTGGGCTGATGGCTCGGAGCCTGGAGCCTGTTTCCGATTCTGTGTCTCCCTCTCTCTCTCTGCCCCTCCCCCGTTCATGCTCTGTCTCTCTCTGTCCCAAAAATAAATAAACGTTGAAAAAAAAAATTTTTTTTTAAAAATAAAAGTGTTTGAGTACACATGATGGACCAAGCCCTGTTGTAGGTGCTTTTAAAAATTATTTAAACCCAGCAGCAACCCTCATTTCAATTAATAGATTATTATGTAAAGTCCAAACTGCCTGCAGCTGCTTCTGTTTTCCAAGTTTGGGGAGGGAGGCTGGGAGCATAACCCATTAGTGAGAAAATAAACACTTCTGTTGTTCCTTTGTCCACCCGGGAGAGAAAGGAAAGAGCAACATTGTAGAGCCTCTGTCTTTTACCTTAGTTGGGACAGATGGTTCTTACTTTGGCGGATTACAATAATGATCTTCGGAGGCACAAAAGTGGCCCCAGAGCCTAGGAGGGCAAGAGAGGTAAAATGCTCTGCAAAATGCAAAAGAGTGGATGAAAGCTAGGATTTAAAAAGTATAAGAAACCCAGAGAGAGACTAGAGGCAAGGCCAGGTGGTGATGTAAAACCATTCCATGTTTTGTACCTTCAGTGAAATCTGATCACACATAAGGCCTTCAGTGAGGGATTCTGGGAAGAAAATGACAGGGAAGGGGCTGATTTCCATGTCTGACTGGCATAGAGCCAAAAGAAGAGGAACAACAGTAGTGGGGACACCTAAGTGAGATCGGGTGTTCTTTGGAAGCTGGGTCTGTGTGCCAGAAGTGACAGTGAGAACATAGCTCCCCCACCTCCTGGTCTGGGATTCTATCAGAAAGCAGAATGCAAGATCACAGCAACTGGCTTTAAATCTCAAATGTCAAGGTGACCTAGGCCAGTACGTGGGTTACATTTGGAATTGTTTCCCTTCTTTTGCCTTTGTCAATAAGAACCTTCCATACACCTTCGTAGTAACGCTTATCAAACTATATTGTAGTTGCCTGTGCCTGCCTGTCTATATTCCCTGCTAGACTAGGGGCAGAGATTGTACTAGTCTTGTTCAACATCCAGTAGTCAAAATAGTACCCAGCTTATGTGTTCTAGAAACAAAGCTGTCCAGAAGGACATGCCCAGGCCTACCTATCCTTAAGTCCATGGTCTTTCCCCTTTATCAGAGAGCCTTTCTTCACTAGGGCTGCCTCCCATTTAACCTTAGCTAGCTGTTACACTCCTGGTTAGAATAATACACTTCGTCTATTATACGAATAAAGCTCCTCAAAGATTCTTCCCAAAGCCCCTTCGCATTGCACGCCGAAGGCACACAATGGCCTCATGACCACATTCAACGCCAGCTCTTTGAACAACTGTCAGGGTCTTCCAGCAGAGAATATGAATGCCAACAATAGCTATAGTCAGTTGTGAAAATGAGGCTAAGAAAACAGCTTCTTTTCCTGGATATTTCTAAATATAGTAGCCGAGAATGCTACACGGACTATACGGTGCATTAAAAAAAAAAAAAAAAAAAAAAAGGTTTTAGATTACCTCAAATAATTAAGCAGTTGTAAACAACTCAATAATTGGCTTTTTTTTTTTTCCTGAGACAAAAAGAAGAGCCTTTTTTAAGGAGATGAGTTTTCCTTCCTTGCTTTTAATTATGTCCCTGAGATTTTTGTTAATATCAATATTATTTATTGGCTTCAGTAAAAATCACTGCATCGTGACACAAACAAAAAGGAACCACACAGAATAAATACAAGCAAGCTTCCAAAACATGACAAAAGAGATACCATCAAAATAATAGCTTCATTTTTACTCAGAGATTTGGCCAACTGTTTAGAAAATTTACTCATATTTTGCCTTACCAGAGGCAATCCAATATCACACATTCAATTTCACTACTTTTTCCAAGCAGGGAAATATCAAGCAAGAAAGGTGAAGTGACACTAAGAAATGAATTGAAGGGAAATCCTCCCCTGCAGGGAGGTAGTGGGAGCAGAGAATGAGGAATCCTGATTAAACACAAAACTATGACCAAGCTGTGAAGCACAACGTAGGCAGAGGAAAGCAGACCCTGACGGCCAGTTCTGCCATGGTGCCTATATCAGTGGAAAAAACCCAGGTGTAATCCTAGGCCGATTGTTCCTACACAAATATTTGTTCCTCAACAAATATTTAAGTACTCCTTTATTATACAGTGGTTGCCAAATGAGAAACGCAGGTCCAAAACAGCCAAGAGAAATAGGAATAGTACCTTCACATGCACATCATGATGCACAGGGCCCCTGTCACATAGGATGAAACCATGCACGGTTAAGAATGGACTTTCTCTTCCCTCCCTTGCCTGTCACAGAATTCAGTCTGATGGGGAAGCTGTCTATTAGGATAACGGATGATTTCTCATGTGTATTAATGAAAGCTCTGTATTGCAGACTGGGTAGCTGGTAGAAATGTTGCGAGCATTTATGAGCGTAAGATTTACATCATTATAACCCTAATGTGCTCCTGCAGAGTAACAACACAGCCTATCTAATATACAATGATGGAGTCCCTACATCTGTGAATTACAGCAGAAAGTATGGACACACGAAAGGTATGACAAAGGCTCTTGGTTTGTCTTTTCTACTGGAAATCAACATTCTCTTAAATATTCTATCTTGAATATTCTTTTTTTTTTTCCACACTGAAAAGATAGCTTTCCTTTTTAATGGTTTATTCTGAGCTATCAAAATTCTTGATTTCTATATCACAGGTTATAATTATATAATTTCACTTGGAAATCTCCTTTTCACAAATTCCACTTTATTTCTTAACATAAAAACATATGCTCTATAGCAGAAATCCCAGAATTCTACTGGGAATACCAGCCAATCTATATAGTGTTTGTGTGTATGCACGCGCGCGCGTGTGTGTATGTGTGTGTGTGTGTACACATTTCAGTTAAGTTCATTGAAGTATAATTTCCATAGAGTAAAATTCACTCTTTTTAGTGTATAGTTCCTTTTGAAGTAAACGTTTTTGAAAAGTACTTTTAATAAAAAAAAAAAAAAAAGGAAAGTACTTTTAAATATATTTTTTATATTTTGGTAATTTTTGTTATATATAGTTAATATATTTTAAGAATTTTATTATAGTAATTTTTGGCATTTTTCTATAAACTATGTGTATGTATACTTAAAAATTCAAAATGCCAGTAAGCAAAAAAAAAAAAAAAATCTGTAATTTTAATACCCATTAGATAATCGCATTAATCCTTTCTACTCACTTTTCCTATAATATGTATTTTAAAACATTTTTATGAAACTATTGTAATGATTATCTTCTACTGTTTTTCAACTTCATAGATCATGAATACTTTCCCATGGCAACAAATATTTTTCAGAAGACCCCAAAGTCGGGGCGCCTGGGTGGCTCAGTCGGTTAAGCATCCGACTTCGGCTCAGGTCACGATCTCACAGTTCGTGAGTTCCAGCCCCACATCAGGCTCCTCACTGACAGGAGGAGTTCCTCTTTCTCTCTCTCAGAATAAATAAATAAACTTAAAAAAAAAAAAAAAATACGATCCCAAACTCAAATGGCTTCAGAAGCAGGCAAGTGGATGTCAGCAAGCCAGGTGGACTAAACTAGCAGGGAACTGAAGAACCGGAGGGTGCATGCTTGGTGAAAAGGTACAGGTAGTGTTCAGGTTGCTTTGGAGGGATGCGATTTTTCAGGAGATGTTGAAAATTAGCATTTGTGGAAAACCTCCCCAATTTTTAAATGTTGGCAATGAACACAAAATTGTAGAAATATTCTCTGAGAATAATAATATGTATCTGCAGGATAGATTTGGCCAGTAAGCTGCCACTTTTGCCACCTCCAATTAAGAACGTAATTTGTAATGGTTGTCAAATATCATGAGTAATGAAAGCTTTTTATTTAGCCAAGTTGCCCTCCTGATGGTCCTATTTGCTTGGAACACAGCAATTTTGGTAATACACCACATTCTCCAAACTCTCGTCTAACAACCGCCAACCACCATTCTCCCCCCGCCCTGTTCATTGCTAAAAGGGCTTGGGAAAAAGACCACAAAGGGAACGGGACCCCATGTCAAGTGCAGGAGTTCTCTTTGGCAACAGGTGCCCTGACATCCGGTGGCACTGGTACCAGGAGGTTAGGATTTCAGGCCAACAGTACATTCATCTGAGCAGAAGAGGGCCCCTGAAGGTCATCCAGCTCTGTTTGGCAACAGAACATTGGACGTTTTCCACCTGGACACAGGGAATGAGAGACCAATAGCGTGCTTTCTTCAAGTGTGTTTTTTGCAAAAGAAATAACTGGCAAGCATGTGGTTTCCACTCTAACAATAAGGTAAACATGAATAATTTCATATTTGCATGGTCATATGCAAACTGGAAAGTCTAGTCAGTGTACCAGAACTATCCCGATTTATTTATAAACACAGAAATAGTCACTGATGCCTGTTGGGTAGGATTCATTTTGCCATGTCACAAAATGAAAATCTTTCTGTTTCCTTCCTTTCCGTTTTCATGTCATTTTGCTCTAGAAATTTTCACTAAACACAATTAACTGGGTCATTTTGGCATGGCTTCTCTTTCGTTCTCTCTGTCTCTGTTTTTGGCCTTGTGGAGTTGATTACTCTTCTACACATAAGTGACCACAATGAACTATCGCAAGTACATTTCTTCATTTGATACTTTCTCTTTCAATTCTTTTTCAGCTGGCTTTTGAAAACAGCTTAGCTGCTTAGCGGTAAAGATAACTCATTATGTGAAGCTTACCAGGTGACTGTGTAGTTTAACAAGGTCAAATTCCAATTCAGCAAATTTGCATTCCGCCAAAACAAATTCTCCTTGTGGTTTCAACACGAAATTCCTCTTAACTCTTCACAGGGTGGCTGTCCTGGCTCTCTTTTGTGGTGGCTTATTATCAGTAATGGGGCAATGTAATGTGTGCCCAAGTTAGTTTTGAAATCTTTGAAAAGCAAGCATGATCTTTGTGATTATTAACAGAGTAAAATATTAGCCTGAAGTACAAATGAGCTTAAATGTTACAGCTTTGAACCCTATCTTTAAAAGGAGCTTTGGGGCGCCTGGGTGGCGCAGTCGGTTAAGCGTCCGACTTCAGCCAGGTCACGATCTCAGGGTCCCTGAGTTCGAGCCCCGCGTCGGGCTCTGGGCTGATGGCTCGGAGCCTGGAGCCTGCTTCCAATTCTGTGTCTCCCTCTCTCTCTGCCCCTCCCCCGTTCATGCTCTGTCTCTCTCTGTCCCAAAAATAAAATAAGAAACTTTGAAAAAAAAATTTAAAAAAATAAAAGGAGCTTTGTTTTTCTAATTTACCTATATTAATTGTATCTTTGGTAGGTTTACTGCTGTGGAACCGAGTGCAGGGATTTTGGCTAATTCATTCTATTCCCAGATTTCCTCCAGCTCCTGAAGAAGGCTATGATTATCCACCCACAGGGAGGAGACATGGACAATCTGGCATCTGCATAACTTTTAAGTACAACCAGTATGAAGCAATAGGTAACATTAGAGTATGTTAAAAAAAAAAGAGAGAGAGAGATAGCAGTGTTAAAGAAGGGATTTGGAAATGTATGAATAAATTTATTACTTCATCCGTTTCTCTATTCATTAACACTCTGTTACCTAGATTCTATTAGATTCTAACATGGGCGTTGCCATGGTGAGACCTTGAGCAGATTCACTTACTAGACCTTTGTTTCCTGATCCGCCAAAGAAGTCTTTGAAATTGATCAGGGGTGGTATTTTCAAATGTCTAGCGTGGCCTGGCAGGTAACAAAAATGGGTGAAACAGGCAAGCAACGCTGCATGGGCAGTGGGGACAGAGACAAACAGGGATGTTGACTCTCCCCTCAAAAGCCTCAGCTCTGCGATGTGGCTCTGCAGAAAAGCAGACCTAATGGTTACAGATCTCCATACTTTTCAAGAGAAACTAGGAATCTAGGGTGGGAGGATGTGAGAGAGTTGGGAAGAGAATATGATCTCAATCTTATTTTAAAAAAATAATTGTGGGGGCACCTGGGTGGCTCAGTCAGTTGAGCTTCTGACTCTTGATTTAGATCAAGAGTCTCTCGATTTGTGGGATCAAGCCCCACATCAGGCTCTGCCCTGACAGTGTGGAGCCTGCTTGGGATTCTCTCCCCGCTCCCCCCACCCCTCTCCCGCTCACACATGGGTGCATGTGCACTCTCTCTCTCTCTCTCTCTCAAAATATAATGAAGTAAATAAATGTGCTGACTACATGTTGCCTGTAGGCCACCAACCTGACAGCTCCAAGTCAGATGATCTTCCTTTAAGATCCCAAGCTGGAATGGCCAAAAATACTTGGATTTGGAAAACTATGGTGGGGGAGAAGGAGAAGTAGGAACACTATTTTATCAGTCACTTTTTACTGAGGAGGCTGCTAAATTGTGGTAAAGAGTGATTTACCTCTAGATATATGAGGTTTAGAATATGTTTTTCATCAAATTTTCATCTTATGGCAAGGATTACTGAGGCTCTCACCCAAGTTAAGTCCTAGTTTAACTAATTGAGTTCCTGTAATGTTTATAGAGCTGAATAGCATAGAGATTAGCTGTGCATGCTGATGAGTTGATTATTCTTTAAGCTGGATGATCAATACATGGGAGGGCTCTACTTTTGTATATGTATGTATGCAAGAAAAAAACATATGGTCTCCAATGCCAGACTGCCTAGATTTGAATATCAACTACAAGCTTTATAACCCTGCATCTGTGACAGAAATTCTCTATTAATTCATCTATATGAAGAGGATAATGACAAAAGAACTTACTTAATAATATAATTGCTATTAGGATTGAGTTAGTACACCCATATAAAACTTGTGGAATAACGCCTGGAAAGTAGGTAGCGCTCAATAAGGGTTAACTATTTTAACCAAAGTGATTTGAAGGCGATTGGCTTAAAAAAGAAATACTTTTGTTTTTGTTTTTGTGGTTTTTAATTCACACAAGATCTATAGTATCAACAAGTATTTCCATCTGTATCCTAATTCTCAATTTTTCTTTGTTCCTCCATTCAGATTCTCAGCTCTTGGTCTGTAACCCAAACATTTATAGCTGTTCCATCCCAGCCATCTTTCACCAGGAGCTCGTTCATATGCCCCAGCTGTGCTCCAGATCCAGCTCATCAGAGATCCCTGACCGGCACCTCACTGCACTTCAGTCAGCCCGGGGCCAAAAATTCCTCCATTTTGCAAAGTCTGGTTCTTTTCTTGACGGTATGAAAGACCATGATCAAACAATATATAACTCTGCTGTTGGACTCACTTTGGATTGTATAGCAGAACTGTTCTGATTATTTGGGGATGGAGAAGTAGAAGAGAAGGGAGGAAAAAGGAAGGAAAGGGAAAGGGGAAGTCAAATTAGTCCAAACGTTTGCCTGCTCTGCTTGAATAGCACAATTGCTGATCCAACCATGGAAATATCTCACAACCATCCAAGCCAGGAGTCCGTGAAAATTTGCAGTCCCCAGCCTCTGTTGGGCATAGGACCACAGTTGTCTCCTCCTTTTTTCCATTCCCTAAGCAGCTATTTTAAGACTCTTTTACTCTCAAGTCCTTTATATTATGCTGCCTCCTCATTCTCAGCCTCTCTTTTTCCTTCATAGAGAGAACAGAGATCACCAGAGAGAAACCACCTCAAGAACACACTCCACCCAAAAAAGTATGGGGGTTCCTCAAAAAATTAAAAATAGGAATATCATGTGATCCCATAATTCCATTACTGGGCCTTTTCCCAAAGAAACCAAAAACACTAATTCAGAAAGATATATGCAAACCTATGTTTATCGCAACATTATTTACAGAAGCTAAGATATGGAGGCAACCCAAGTGTTCATCAATAGATGAATGGATAAAGAAGATGTGGTGTGTATACACAATGGAATATTACTCAGCCATAAAAAGAATGAGACTTTACCGTTTGTGACAACATGGAAGGACCTAGGGGGTACTATGCTAAGGGAAATAAGTCAGAGGAAGATAAAACCATAGATTTCACTCATATATGGAATCTTAAAAACAAAACAAATGAACACACAAACGGAAGCAGAAACAGACCCGTAAATACACAGAACATACTGGTGGTTGCCAGAGGGGAGGGGATGGAGGGAATGGGCAAAATGGGCAAAAAGGAGTGGGCGGTACAGGCTTCCAGTTTGTGGAATGAGTAAGTCATGGGATGAAAGGTACAGCAGAGGGAACATAGTCAATGGTATCGTAATTGTGCTGTATGGTGACCAGATGGTGGCTCCACTTGTGGTCAGCATAGCATGACATACGGAGGTGTCGAATCACCATGTTCTGTACCTGAAACTAATGTAACATTGTGTGACAGTTATACTTGTATTTTTAAAAATGACTAAAAAGGGGCACCGGGGCGCCTCAGTTGGTTGAGCATCCAACTCTTGATTTCAGCTCAGGTCATGATCTCACGGATCCTATGAACCTTGTACCTATCGAGCTCTGCACTGATAGTGTAGAGCCTGCTTGGGATTCTCTCTCTCCCTCTCTTTTTGCCTCTCCCCCGCTCGCTCTAGTACTCTCTCTCTCTCTCTCTCTCAAAATAAATAAACATCTTTTAAACATGACTGGGGCGCCTGGGTGGCTCAGTCGGTTAAGCCTCCAACTCTTGGTTTTGGCTCAAGTCATAATCTCACAGTTTGTGAGTTCAAGCCCCGCATTGGGTTCCATGCTGACAGTGTAGAACCTGCTTGGAATTCTCTCTCTCCTTCTCTCTCTCTGCCCTTCCCCTGATCCCTCTCTCTCTCTCTCTCTCTCTCAAAACATAAATTTAAAAACATTTTTTTCAGTGACTAAAAAGACCACACACACACACACACACACACACACACACACACATACACACACACACCCTCAACAATCTTATCTGTTTTTATTCCTTTTCACGAGTTTCCCTTTATCCCAACAGAAGCAGTGCACCTCTTGTGCCTTGGAACCTATCCCAGTCTCAGAATACTTTGATTCAAACACTAGATCTCTTCTCCCTCTTCTACTTGAATTTTCCCACTCTATAAGCTCGGTCCCCTTAGCACACAAATATTCCTAAAAATCTTCCCTCAATTCTAGCTCCCCTATATCTCTGTTTTTTTCTTTTCTTCCAAATTTCTTTCTAAAAGTCTCTTCAGGGGGCACCTGGCTGGCTCAGTGGGTTAAGCATCCGAGTTCAGCTCAGGTCATGATCTTGTGGTTCACGGGTTTGAGCCCTGAGTCAAGCTCTGTGCTGAAGGCTCAGAGCCTGGAACCTGCTTCAGATTTCATGTCTCCCTCTCTCTCTGCCCCTCCCCCACTCATGCTCTGTCTCTCTTTCTCTCTCTTTCTCTCTCAAAAATAAATAAACATTAAAAAATAATTTTAAAAGACTCTTCATGGGCTTTCACTTGCTCAATGCTCCTTCACTGTAGTCTTTGCATCTCTGTCTGTAGACACTCCAATCTCTCCCCAGTCACCAGTGACCCTCTTAGTTGACCTCAATGTCTTCCCTCCTTTCTTGCTACCTTCCTTCCTTTTATACTAGATAAAATTTACTGAATGCTTACCACTTGCCAAGCCCTGTATTAGGCACTAGAGATCCAAAAATCAACAGGACAGAAATAGCCTCTGCAGAATTTGGCACTGTTAAAACCCTTTCCTTCCTGAAACACTCTCCCTTCCTGATTTTTGGGAGTGTGCAGTCTCTTGGTCTTCTTCCCACTTCTCTTAAGTCTCTTTAACTAGGTCCTCCTCCTCTGCCTACTCCTTAGGTGACTGGGTTGCCACGTGGTCTTCCACTCTTCCTTATCTCATTCTATATACTCATTCTATGCAACTCCAATAAGCTTTCAGGCGATTCTTAAGACCTCTGGACTGACAGAGCCATCAGTATTCAATAGTGGGTGGGACATTGCTACCTGGGGGTGGTATAGCCATGCCAAATTCAACGTGCCAAACTCATCATTATTGCCCACAAATCTATTCTTTTTCTTATATTCTGCAGAGTCAACTAAGGACTCTAGATCCCTCCTTTTTCTTTACTGCTCTAGCAAGTCATCAAATTCAATCAGTTCTAGGTCCTTTAGTAACACTCACATTTATCTTTTCCTCTCCAAGCTTTATGCCACTGCCTTAGTCCATGCCTGTGTTTATTGTCACAATTATTGTGACAACCCTGTGTTTTCCCTATCTCCAATCTAATACACCTTTCTCAATTCATCCTGCACGTTGCCTCCCAACTGATATTTATGATCAAAAATCAGTTTCTATTATCAGTTTTCCACTAACATTTCTCTAAAAATTCTCCCATTGAGGGGCGCTTGGGTGGTTCAGTCTGTTGAGCATCTGACTTCGGCTCAGGTCATGATCTCATGATTCATGGGTTGGAGCCCCACATTGGTCTGTGTACTGATGGCTCGGAGCCTGGAGCCTGCTTCAGATTCTGTGTCTCCCTCTCTCTCTGCCGCTCCTCTGCTCACCCTCTGTCTCTCTCTCAAAAATAAACATTAATTTTTTTTTAATTTTCCCCTTGATTTCAGGAAAATCCAAACATTTTGGCATGATGTGCAAAGAGCCCTTGAAGCTGGCCCCTGGTTACTTCTTTAGCTTCATTCTGTCTAAAGATCTTTTCAAGACAAAAGCATATATTGCTCTCTTGTTTGTGTGGAACAGAAAACATTTTTAAACGCCAATATCACCTTAGTGATAAGAACTTTTATTTGCATAACACTTTAGCACTAACAAAATGTTCTCCCATCCACTATCTCAATTATGTTGTTATTATTGTGCTCATGACATCCATATATCAGGGGTGAATGATGATTTCCATTGCTGAGGATATTTTCAGGGACTTATCTAAGTATAAATACTAACCTCACTATCTTTCTCCCTGTAAACCCTAGACATCTTTGCAGCCTGGATGGCTCAACGGTTGAAGACGCATTTGCTAACAGAAACCTGGCAGCGAAAGAGACAAGAGCTTCCTTCAAACTGCTCCCTTCCTTACCATGTCTACAATGTCAAAGCAATTAAGATATCTGGACACTCTTATTTCAGTTCTTACCAGGATCATGCCAAATGGTGTGTTTCCCAAAAGAGGACCAAAAATCGCTGGACCTGCATTGGAGACCTAAATCGGAGCCCATACCAAGCCTTCAGAAATGGAGGATTCATTTGTACCCAGAATCAGCATATTTACCATGCATTTCAAGGATTGGTTTTGTATTATGAGAACTGTAACTAAACTTGGTGAAAGGACATATGTACCATTATTTTCAGCACTGACAATGGGTCTTCTTCCATTAGATCCATTCTTTATATACTAAAAGCCTGTGAGTATACTTATAGTCACAAATCATCAAATAAAATGCTTTTCTACCGTGGTCGCCATTTTATCTTCCATTTAGTGAAAATTTATCTACTTTGCAATTATATGCCATAAGCATAAATCATTATACATAGCCAAGTGAGAATTGAAGAAATGGAAGAAAAAAATCTTCTTGACTGTTCATGGATTGACTGAACATCTCCTGGATTAACTTCATCTCCCTCACAAAGACTTCTCTGACTCTTCTACTCATCCCTTGTTGAAGAAAAAAATCTCTCTCTGTACCTCATGCTACTCAGTCATATTCCTCTTAGAGCTCTTTCACTGGTTTATGGTTAAGTCTTATTTATTATTCTTGTAGTTGCTCCTTACTAATCATATGATCTTAGGATATTCACTTGAACTCTCTAAGCCTTGGTTTTTTTCATCTATGAAACAATGTGTAGATATGTTTAAGCACCTAGCACAAAGCCTGGTGGGGTTGACACTTAAAAATACTGGTGGAATTTGAATATGAATCTCCCTCCCAAGTTAGAAAAGACAAGAGGAAGTTTAGAAATGAGTAATATTTTTCAAAAAAAAATTGTTAAGTCAGATTAGGAGAAGTAAAACAACCCACCAAATTGGGGTCAATAAAGAAGCCATAATCAAATCTAACAATCTTAATTCTGTGTGTTTCATTTTGAGAGTTCTTATCCCTAAATATGACTATTATATAAATAAACAGCAATAAACTCGTATTAAGAACTAACTGCTTAAGAAAATTTGAAATATAGTTCTCAATTTCAAGAAAATTGCAATTTAACAAAAGAAATCACAATAATTAAAGCCAACACTTATTAAGCATTTACTATGTAGTAAACAGTCAACCCACATCTTCTTATTTGATCTTCATAACAATGCTACATAGTAGGAATCATTATCCCCATTTTACTGACAAGGAAACTGAGGTCTACAAAGCTTCAGTAACTTACCCAACATTATAGAAGGTCTATCTGACCTCTAAGGCTATGCTCTTTACTTATATTCCAAGAGACAATAAATGAAAATGATGCAATATAGGATAATATATATATGATGTCTTAATACCACCAAAATTCATGGGACATGATGGCACTAGTTCAATGAAAAGCAGAAAAAAAGCTAAGTTTGTCTTCCCGTCGGAAGCAAAGATAAGCTAAAGAAAGGCCTGTTGAATACTAGCTGGCTAAATTACATGCTTGAATGTATGAAGAGATTTGAAAAATATGTTTTATTCTCACATAAAGTATCTGAGTATAAATAATTGCAATAAAATAGGATTAAAAGAGAAACTAAACATATAAGATCCTGGGGTGCCTGGGTGGCTCCATCAGTTGAGCATCCGACTCTTGATCTCAGCTCAGGTCTTGATCTCAGGGTTGTGAGTTCAAGCCCCACTTTGGGCTCTGCTCTGGGCAGGAAGCCTACTTAAAACAAACAAACAAACAAAAAGTACAAGATCCTGACTTTAATGGTGAAAAGGGTCATATCTTAATCCAACAGCACAGATAGGAATTAATGAAAATGAAAAAAAGAAAGCAAAGATCAATTGAATAAGAAATTCTATTGGACTGAAAATAAAGGTAAATCCAGTCCTTCTAGAAAAGTGGTTTTATCTCAAGCTCAAAAGAAGAATCTAAAGAAGAGGAGAATCAAAATCAGAATCTGTACAATAAAGAGTATAAGAATGTGACAGAGAGAAAACAAAGAAGTTGCTGGCCCACTGGCAATGCACACTAATGATGTGCTTCCCACTGAAGCGGAGCAGAGAAGTGACTAGACCTTCCTTGAGGAAGGAAAAAATGCTGGAAAGGAATTGAACAGCCTCAGTAGTTCAAGAATATCAAATACTGACCTTGGGAGGAAAGAATGTGTCTTGCTTGGTGTTGGTAGTTCCTCTAGTCATTTCTTCTCCTCTTTGGGAGATAAAATAGTGTATTTAACCACAAACTAACCAAAAATTGGTTTAGCTTAATGAGACTCTTAGTAAATGTCCAAATATTTGAAACTGTGTCAGTACTCTTTCTTATTCTTTCCCATCAAATCCTTCCTATGGCTTCCTGGGAAAGTACATTTACCACGCCGTGCTACAATTGTGTGTAGCATGATTGTGATGTGCTAGAAGCAGCTACAACAGACTAAAGAAACTAGTATCACTATCTTTCTCAAGCATATGCCAAGGCTTGTTACCCAGTCATGCTGATTCCTATAGAGACACTGGGGAGTATCTTCAGAATTATAATGTCATTGGAAGGAAACTGAAACATTTGAGATTATAGGGGATGTTTTCATTGATTCCCTTTGGGAGGAAGAGGAGGATATGGGAGATAACGATGAATGAAATTTAAATTCTAAACCATGTTTTAAAATACTGGAATTAAAGACTCATGTCTAAGATGGGAGTGTACTTTACAAACAAGTGTTAGGTTGTGTTTGGCTGGAAACTACCTAATGTAATTCCAGAGAAAAGAAATTGAACACAGAAATAGACATATGGCAATAATTAGGGTGGAAGATGGCAATCCTGACATCGAAATTCTAAATAATGTCTGCTGTGCCTTCCCATCCTGCTTAGGTGTGAGCTTCTTAGAAAAGCTATTTTCCCCAGTCCATATCATGCAACCCTTTCCTCTCCAGCTCCAAGTGACTGGACTGAGTGAGCTTGTGACACAAAAGAAAATAAGCCTTATGGCATTCCAAGGCAATATGATTCAGAGAAGAGTTTGAAGTAGGGGTATCAAGACTGAGTGTTGGGGTATGAGCACTTGATGTGGGGGGTCATGTCCATTGGAGATCAGATCACCATTGTCTGCCTTGTGCTTGCCGAAGCAGAGAAGGGTGCAAATTCACCTCAAGATCAAAGGAGCACAGAATGATATCAATTCCAAATGTCCAGATGTCAGATGAGTTCCTTGTGGAGCCCAGCTCTTCTCCCAGTCCCATATTCTATGACATATGACTCTGTTCTCCCATTAACTAGCCCATTTTTAGTTTAAGTTGGCTTGAATACGTACCTACTTCTTGCAGGCAAACAATTCTCATCTAAGTTATATAGAAATAAGAATGACAGTTGTGAATGTAGTGTCAAATCATTTCAATTAAAATAATGACTGAGAAATGGGTCATTAAACAACTCTCAAAGTCCCGCAATCTCAGATGTTTTACACACTAACACAGAAGCTGGGTTACAAAGGAGGTACACTTGAGATTGTAGCACGACATGACAAATGTACATTCACAGGAAGAATTAGGAAGGATTTGGTAGGGAAGAATAAGAAAGAGTACTGATTATAGTTTCAAATATTTGGACATTTGCTAAGAGTCTCATTCAGCTAAAACAATTTTTGGCTAATTTTTGGCTAAATACACTATGTCATTTCCCAAAGAGGAGATGAAATGACCAGAGAAGTTTCAACTCAGAACCTAAGACTTGCAAGCAAGGAGGAGTTCACTGATGAAATGAAAGTAATGGTGCCCCAGGAGAAAAGTGTCCCCAGATGATCATCAGGGAAAGAAAAGTTGAATGTAGTTCAAGTTTAGGTAGTATGAGATTGAGGTACAGAAAATAATATGGTTCCATGGCAAAAGATTCTAAAAGGATATATAGCTCAAGAGATTGAGAAATCATCAAAAAGAAATTCTGACTATGTGATTTCTCCACGAGGAAGAAAGGGAGAGAACAATGTAATTACACAGCCTGCTTTCTACCAATCTCCTCTATAACAGGTACATCTAAAACATGGGAGAAAAAGCCCATTGAACAAGAAAAATTCTTTAAAGTGGCACCAATCTGTTCACTGAATTATGTGAAACTGTACTATGAAACTTATTGCAAAAAAAAAATGCTAAGGCTAACAAAAAAAAGTTTTGTACTTACATTTAATCACAATTTACATTGGAATTAACAGGAGTTTGTGAATGTCAAAAACAAAAACAAAAACCTTTGTCTCTTTTATTTCTGTCTTTTTGGTAAAGATGCTTAGTTTGGTATTAAAACTAAAAAGGTAGAAAAAAAAAAGTGCTCAGGGAGAACTAAATCAAGACCTCTGCAAAGCAATCTTAAGAGAGCATACAGCTCCCTACAATGAGTTCATGTTTCCAAGCTCAACAAATCACAGTGAAAATGACTGAAAGACCAGAGAACATTAAGTAAACACAGAAGACAGACAAATGTCACTTTAATATACAAAATCAGATGGAACATGTGTTCTTAAACATAATCCCCGGAATGTTTCCGTGTGCCTCTTTAAAGGGCCAAATTTTAAGCACTTACAAAGCCATCAACTAGACAATCTGCAGGTGTGAGCACGCACTAGGTTCTCTGTGGGTCATTTCCCTTTTCTACAAAAGTTCTAAGACCAGTGGATAATAAGATTGCAACAGGTATGATATACTTGAGCAGCAACAAAACAAAGGTCGCTCTTGATATCCTTATGGTCAAGATGATAGCATTGGGTGAATGTGAATACAGTCCATTGAACTTATGCATTATTCAAAGGGTGGTAATAGTGGATTTGTGTCAGTGTGAAAGGAGGTTCATGGTGTTATACCCAAGCACTTTTCCCAATTTATTCCATCAAACATACTCTGTATTAGATCCTGTGATGAGCAAAAGGAACAATGAAGAAGACAGTCTCTGCCCTTATAAATATTATACTTAAGTCTCTCCTTAGCCTTGCTCCGTAAACATTTTTAGATGAATCTGGTGAGTATTCAGAAAATACATTTATTAAATTGGTACATGACCAGCAGGTAAGAGGAATAGCAGATCCAGCAGATAAAATTGCCTCCCAAGGGGACTTGAAAGGCTGGTGTAATGGGTTAAACCAAGTAATACTAAACACAATAAAGATAAATATAAGACTCTTCCCTTGAATAATAATAATAAAAAAAAAAGGGGGGGGGCACCTGGGTGGCACAGTCGGTTAAGTGTCCGATGTTGGCTCAGGTCATGATCTCACAATCTGTGAGTTTGAGCCCCACATTGGGCTCTGTGCTTACAGCGCAGAGCCTGGAGCCTGCTTCAGATTCTGT